TGCCGCCGGGCGCTGCGGCGCTGGGAGAGCCGCCCTGGCGGTGGCTGGGGGCCGGGGAGGCAGCGATCTGAGAGACGGGGCGGTCTCTGAGGAGGCTGGAGGCCGCGGCCGGTGGGCAGAGTTCGTGGCGGGCTGAACCGGCGGGCCGCGCTTCTCCGTGCGCCTTCGGCGGGCTGCCCGTACGCGTTGTGTGCCCGGCTGGGCAGGGCCTCGCCGAGTCTCTGTCTTGACATCAGGATTCCTCCCTTCCGTCTGTGTTTAGTGTAATTGGGAAACAGGACCGTAAACAGCCTGCCTAAATATGCTTTTTCTGAATATTGCAATCTTTTTTGTAACCCTGCGCTAGGTAAGGAAGTCTTTCATGTACGGAAAACAGCCACATGTGCTGGTGTGCCAGAATCTCTTTAAGTGCCAGTAAAGCTTTCAAGCTCCTGCCTGAAGTGCTTGCTGGGCTCTAATTGGCGTTGGTGAGCTTTTGTATTAAACACTGTTCTTTGGTTTGTCTTTTTTTTTAAGCAACGGTGCGCTCTTTTATAGCTGCGCTATGTTAGCTGTGGGCACATAAAAGGATCAGGCCAGTTAAACCGAGCCCCAGAGTGCTGTTTGCATAAAACATAAAAGTGTCAACAGGCAGGTCACCTCAATGCCAGCATGATGCCAACAGCAGCAGCTCGTCTCTCTCTCTTTGCCTTACCCGACTCAGGCCAATGTTTGGCAATGAGGTACTCTGAAAAGAAAGTAACCTAGAACGTATGCAGCCTTTGTAATAAGTGAACCTCATCAATTTACAGTGCACCAAAGGTTGGAAAGCTTGCGTGTTGTAAATGGCAGAGGTTGTCTTGTGCGTGTGTTTAGCAGTAAGGAGCTGACATAAACTGAGTCTGGAACTGCAATGCTTTGAATAGCTTTTTTTTTTTTTTTTAGATGGTTGAGTTTTTTGTTAATAGTTAAGTCTTTCTTCTGGAAATACTATGCAGCTTTATGGTAAGGGTTTTCAAAATGGAAATTACCAACTATGAATCCTTTTGTGATTTTTAGACTCATCTATAGCAAGCTACTTACATTCATGCTGAGTTTACAGAGTCAAAGATTATCAGTGATACAGAACCCCCTACCGCCAGGAAGTAGTAGTTGGAAGCCAGAAATTTTGTGGTGAGGGTTAGTGATTATATTCTCATTAAGAGGCATCAACAAGTTAGCAACCACTTCAATTGCAATATGGAGTCAATCATTGTGCCTTTAGAAAAGAGGTGAAATGACCTTCCTGAGTATTACAACCTCAGTTACAGTTGGTCCAGGGAGAAAGTATTGCATGGTGCCTCTCACCACCTTTAGTAAATCAATTAATAATTAAAAAAAAAAAAAGGCTTTTGTATTCCCAGGTCCCAGTCAGGCATTAAAATTTCCCAGAAAAAAAGAAAAAAAGAAGCTGATGGAAATCTTTCTATAAGTAGGTAAGTGGAAGAGTCAACTTTTGCCTCCAAATGTCCTCATAAAAATGGGAACACAAAGGAGTATACAATCACTCAGTGCTGAAAAAGTAGATTTCTCTGTAAGAGAGGTTGCCGGTTGTAACATTTAATTTACTGAGCTGAGAAATGCCAGCTCACTCTCCAATTTATGGGCTTAGGGTTTTTTTTTCTCTCCGCTTCTAAGGTAAACATAAATAATCTGTGAATGTTTGTTTTTTTTTTTTTTGCAGGGGATTGGTGGGGGTAGGTAAGAGGATATTAGATCAGAGATTCATAGAAAATCTGAAGTTGAGGACTTGCAAGGCTGTATGTCACAATGCAATGTTAATAGCATATACTGAAATGTTGCTCATACCCCTCTGGTCCAGTGCTTCAAGAGCTGCAGCTGAGAAATTGTCAGGAAAAATCTCCACGACTAACTCTGTAGTTTTGTTTAATTTTCACAGAACTGAGCGTCATCCTGTAGATCTTTAGCAATAGCATTTGAAGTTGGGCTAGTGGATTTTTATCTGGAAATTACAGTATGGTCAATTGGAATTTACTTCCGTGGCATGGTTATTTAATTTGTTGAGAGCAGTTGCATATTCAGGAATTGTTTCCTTATGATCTTTCTGCTGAGCAGCTACTAAGACAAGAAGCAGCTTTTCTGTGATGTTTCCTGAACCACTAATCTCCGAGTTTTTCCCCTCTCAGTTGTGGTCTTGCATTAGGACATTCTCATAGCTTTAGAATTTAAATTGATATTGCTTTATAATTTAATTTCTGGATAGAGGAGAAAACATGACATGTTTCACCAATACATAAATGCATGTGCAAGTGAGCCTGTAATTCAGTCGCTTGCTAGGCTCTTTGAAAACCAGTGCTTATTTTGTATCCTTAAGTCACGAGCCTTTCAGTGCCCATGGCACTCCCATTGAGTGGCAGCTTACAAGCGGAAGAGTGTATCTCTTGTCTCATGTAAAAACACATTCCACACTGCTCTGCATGAAGCTGCAGTAGCATCCAGATGCTGCGTTCCCCCTTGTCGGAACGAAGAGAAAGCCTGACAAACTTAGTTTTCTGTGCACGTTTTTACAAGTTGCCAAGTGACAGGTCTTCCTCTCAGGAGAGAAGAATCGGAACAGTTCCTGAGCCAGGAAGGGGAAAAAGGACCTTGAGGCGGATTGGTGGGAATAGTCAAATTCAACCGAAAGACCCTGATCCAGTCTCTCTGGATGACAAAACACTGTGCAGTATATTTTTTTCAATGGTCATTGGCTCTAGGGACAGAAAAGAGAGCATCTGGAAGGGCTACGAAAGGATGTTTGGCCTCCTTAGCTAGCCTGCAGTAGCCGTTCCTTTTGTCTGTAGGAACTGATGGAAACTGGTGGCAAACAGTCTTTGGACGGTGATGTGGAAGTTAATCAAAAGCAATATATTTTCTGGTAAACTAATTGGTTAAAAATATTTATCTTCAGCTTTTCTACCCTTATGGCTTCATATCTTCTTCTCAAGTGCTGTGTGTTTTTCCAGTTATGCAGGCAGCAGTGGCTGTTCGTCTAAATAGGAAAAAAAAAATCCCTGTAACAACTCTTATCTATTGTTCACATGGAAAACTGGTTTTATAAAGTATCTGAATTCTTCTAATTGCTAACTTTAATGAATACTGAACTTTTATTCTGTCCTGTTCTTGCCTAGCCATGCTTCTGTTATAAATATGTTTTCTGTTTCTTGCTGGTACCTTCTGCTCCCTGATTCTTCTCTTCCTCTAGACGTGTCATTGCTCGCTTGCCTGTTTCTCTTGTGTACCTCCACTGAAGCATCGGGTCCTTAAGAACAGCTCGTATTTCCCGATCTTTTAGATCAGCAGCCTTCAGGGGAAGCATATTGATCAGTATGTTCTCTGTGCTGTAAACTTCAGACTAACATTTGGAAAAGAGGACCCACGTGACCTATTAGCTCTCCCACATAATGTCTGTCAGATTCTTGTGGAACAGGTTGCTTCTTGTGAACAAGGACATTATACCAACAGTTTGAAATTAGCTTTGTAACACTCGCACGTTTTGGATGACTAGGCTGCTAAATCGCTGTGTTTTAGTACAGTAGTGCTGCTTGAAAATAACCAACTTGAGTAAACTATGTCTGAAGACCTGATACAGTAGTTATTTATTACTACAGACACAGTCAAACTGTTTCTTAAGCAAACGGCCTATGAAAATAAGCACCTTATACCCATTTTGTTTGCATTTCCATTTATTTTACAAGGCATCGTTCACACAATGATAACAAGGTACTGATCCAAACAATTCTGTAACAATTAAAAAAGTAAACATTTGTTGTGACCATGTACATTAAATTGCACTTTTAATAACAAGCATTACACTTATATGTCCATATTATACTTTATATAATACATAGATTTGTTGCACAAGAACTGGCAGTATTGGATTGTTCTCAGTTAAAGGTCTCACATCACCGTGATTCTTTTTTTTTTTTTCCCCCCTAACCCTTTAGCAAAGTGTGTTTTTATGAACTAGGGACAGGCCCAGATAACAAACTTTGCCTGAATAACCCCAAACCCAGAAAAATATCATTGTGGATCACAGCTTTGAAGCTGGTCTTTATTTTCAGCATTGTGAAGTGAATCAACCTTGAATCACAGAACGGGAGGGATCTGACTCCAAATTGTATTTGCTTAGATCCATTTCTGCTTTCGCTCACCATCTTTTTGCTGTTTGAACAAGCCATAAAGAATCTTCTTACACTGAGAAAGCAACAGTCCCAAGGGAATTCCTGGTACAGCTTTTGAAAATGGTGGCTGTACCCAATGCAGCCCTGGGAATTACCAGAAGGAAGGAACTGGGATCTGGAGAAAAAAACCTGAGAACATCTGCTACATTGGTAGTAGCATCCATGTATTATATAAAATACAAAAATAAGAGAAACTGAAAGGAAATTAGTACAGCTCAGGATTCTGGTGGTATCAAATCACAAACGAAACTTATGATACCAAATCCTTTTGATGTATTTATCCCCTTGTTGTTCAGTTTCCTATATATTATTCTATATATAAGATATAGTTTTCCAAAGATACATATATATTCCTTTACAGGTTAAATAAAAGCAAGTCCCACTGAATAAGAAAATAAGAGGAAGTAATGTTCTAACTTTCTACCTTTTCTTTTTTAAGGTAAAAATAGCATGAAATACATTCAGTAGCAAAGCAGTGGAAATGCAGAATGAAAGAGAGAGCCCTGTATTCCTGGAAGAAAAACCTGTATGTGTTAAGTCATGATCCTGAAATAAATTATGTAGACTTCTGAGTTGGGAAAGATCGGCTCTTGGTCAATGCTGAGAGTTAGTGATCCAGTTCCAAAGTATTTGACTTTCTCTAAATGCCATCTAGTGTAGCCCAGTTTTAAAGGGTGCTGTGATGTATATTTGTTTTAACTTAAAGGCCCCAAATCAGTGCTTCATTGTGTCTCCCTTTAGTATTATGTGGAAGGAGGTCATGGGACAGCTCCCAGTAGGATCTTAGCATAATAGACAGGAAAAGACTTTAGTTCAAGCCTTCATGTTTGCAAGAACAAAGTGATGTCTGGTTCTGCGTATACTCACAGCCCTGGATATACACAGTGTGACATGTCTTGTGAAGCCAGCTGTTGGTACAACAGCCCCTTTAGCAGGGTAGCTCTCCTGGTTGACAAGCAACCATCCATTAGAACAGTCATTCAGTCTTCCCATAAAAATCTCTGCCCTGATCTTCACGTTCTGAAAATGACATGCATTCAGGTTTTCTCTCAGCAGTTGGGAAAAAAATTTAGCGTTATGTAACACAAGAGAGTTCTTGTTTTCATTGCCAAAGGTATTTAGGCTTATTAGATTATGCGGACGTGTGCCAAATATCCCTGAGTCTAACAGTTTAATAATGAAAATAAGAGGTAAAGTTCTCCCACATATATGAGTAGTTTCTTGGATTTCAATGCAACTACTTAGTATAAGGAAGGGAACTCACCCGTACCAGTTTCCTGTGGAGAACTGTGGAAAAGCGTGACTTTCTTACATAGTTTTTAAGTCTTGATACTTTAGTTTCAGTAAAGTTAGATTATTATTTACTCCCAATGTAATTGTCCCATTTAGTTATTGAGTGACATCCTGCCTCTGAAGCCAATGGTTTCTCAAGGCATCTGAATTTTTGCTGTGCTTGACTTTCTTTTCCTAATGAAAGAAGAAACCTAACAGCTTTTTTCCCCTCTCCCTCTCCCTCTGTTTTTACTTTGTTTACATCCCAGTGGCACAGGTGAAAGCATCTACCTTAAAAGAAACTTCAAGGGCCAACCAAAAAGTCTTTTCAAACTTCTAACAGGAAAAAAAAAAATGCTCACCTAATATGCAACTTAGGTGTAGCAAATTAGAAAATAAACTAATTAATGGGCAGGACAAGGAGGATATGTTTGTCAGCTGGCAGTACTGATTACATGGCTGACCACCTTTCCAGATACTAGTTTTACTAGACATTAATGCATACGGACCTGATGGAATTTGCCATTTCTTGGATTAAAGCTAGGCAGTGACATTTTTATTTTGTTGGTTCATTCCGTCTGGATAAAATTATAATTTGTTAAATTAAGTGAAGCCAGCACTATTATTTTAGAGTATCATGTTTGATTCACAAAGATAATAAAAGACTAGTTCACAGATCTACCATGTAACTAAATCAACCTTGCTTTATTTATCCTGTAGAGTTTTACAGTCAAAGTAAAATCAACTTCTTAAAGTGAAAAACAAAAAATTCTTTCCGTATTGGGCATCTCAGGAACAGATTAGAATCCAACAAGATCAACAGTTGTACTTAAAAATATCCTTTGGAAGTTTGCACCTAATCAAAGTAAAGGCCTTATTTCAAAAGTATGCATTCTCAATAAAAGTAAAAAGCAAGATTTAATTAAGATTTATATTAATATAAACTAATATATACATTATATATATTAGTTCATATATATACAAATTACTTTTAATATAAGTTTGATGTGGACACATAGTTTGATACTGACTCAGATTGAAAAAAATAGGAATCACTCCAGACATGAGAGCTATGCTAGTTATTCCAGTGCCACACGAATGTAGCAGTTTCAGGTAGACTTTGATTTAATGAAGTTTCCTACTGAAAAGCTAAACACGCACAGAGCCAGCTATCCCAGATAGATTAGTCACTCTGGGATACATGTACTTTTCAGAAGGTATGTAGCGCTGTCATTCAGGTCTGAAAGGGTTAATTAAAACCCAAATATTTATCTCATAGGAAACTTAATATCATAATAGTAGGTACAGTCAACAGGTAGAATTTTAGGTAGAGCTGTAGCTTGCCTGTTTTAATCCTTCAGTCTTGTTACTTTCTGCATTTCTGAACTATTCTTATTCATCTAGAAAATTACTCTGGAAATGCCACAGAGCTATTTCACTTATTCTTTCAATAATTTTATGACAACTCGGCTTCCAAATATAAATATTACTTTTCCCAATGCGTCTGCTACAAACACTACCTGGCAACTACAGATGAAAGGTGAAAATTTTTTACTGCCTTTGTCATTGCCAAGAGAGATGATTCAGCTGTTGCCTTCTGAAACTTATTTTGCTGATACGCGAGGCACAAGGAAAGCTAGCTTCCACTCCCACAAGTGTTCAGACTCATCCTGGGTAGCAGGTACCAAACGTGTTTTTGTCACAGAAACTTCTAAAGTCAGAGAGCTGCTACACTGAGAAAGAAGTCATGTCAAAGCTATGATTCCATGAGACATAGTGAGCTTACTTAACAGCTTTCTTTGGATGAACTGGGAAAGTCCTGCTCCCGTTCTCCTCTTATGCTCTTGCACTCATTGGGCCCTTTAAGAAGGGTTAACTTAATAACTTGGAAAAAGCTTATTAGCCAAAAAAAAAAAGTTTTAGAAATCCACCCACTTTTTTTTTTTTTTTTTAAATCATCTCCAGTGTGGGCCAGAACAAGGGAAGGACAGGACTGTACAAGAGGGAGTGGAAGTAGTAAGATCTTTCAGCAGCAGTGAGTTGTTACCTTAGCTCAGCTGCTCAGGGAACCATAAGTCTTAATCTTTGATTATTACTGCATTTTTCCAGTCAAGGTTTTAAATCCATTTGCGAGTATGATTTAAGTCAAATTAAATGAGAAACCTGGACACTTGTCAAACCATCAGTGGCTCTCATCAACACCATGCTCTCAAATGTAACAATGAAAGGTTGAGCAGGTATTCTTAAATGTCACTTCCACTTTATTACATAGCTTATTTCAAGTGTGACTTGGTACTGATAAGCGAAATAATATTGCAAGGTTTAGACATTCCACATAATGGAAACATTTATGCAAAGGTTATTAGCATGAAAGTGACTTGGGAAAGAAAAAGATCTCTGTTGTACTTGCACAACAGAATCCTGCTTTTTCCACATAATCACTGTTCTTGCAAGTAAGTTTATAAAGACTAAGAATTTTAACTCCTTACTCTTAGGAGACAGAATCTGCATTGTCACGTTGCAGGAGAGTTGTGTCAGAATAGTGATGCTATTTTGATCTCCACTTCAAACAGCTGACTGCCTTTCAGAACGATCCATTTGGCACACATAAGCATTAAATTTGTACTACCCTGTTTAAAATAATTCACAATTATGCTTGACAATAAAGCACAAGAGGAGTATCATTAAATTTTATTGTACAAAACTGCCAAGATATGGTATTCCTTAGAATTAAAAAGGCCCTGGAACAATTTTGTAAATGGAAAGCTTAATGCACAACCTTCTGTCCAGCAATGATATTCACCTGCAAGACCTTCTTCTAGACATGTCAGATATAATTGAAAAAATATATATATTCTCACCAGTTCAAGCAATGGTTTAGTTTTCCATGAAATAAGTATTTCCGTAAACACGTTTAGTCAAAACAAATGCCTTCGAATTTTCTTACTTTAGAGATCCAAAACAATCAGACAGCTTTGGGAATCAGAGAAGCCTATCCCATGGGAAGAGTCTAGGTGTTTGTATTCCATGTGAAAATTTCTATATTTATAGAAATAAGTAACACACCAACATAGCATTTCCTAACCAAACACTTACAGCAAACAGATCTTGTTTCTGTGATGTTTTATTCAGCAGTGCAGCAAAAACCTTTTGTTTTATTTATTTATTTATTACCTCATTTCTGTGTCAAATTCAAAACTTGACTATAGACCCAGGGAAAACTTTGTCATTAATTTTGTTCATAAAACCTACCCTTTATTGCACAGGATTTACAAAAAGTCAAATCTATGCAAGGTCTACACTCTGCTTCTTGGCAAAAACAAAAAAAAACACAAAAAAACAACAACAACAACAAAAAAACAACCCAACAGCCAAACACACACACAATAGTTTTCCCTTTCTCCCAAGGGAAGGAATTATATCTTGGAATAAGTATAAAATGAAATTAAAAAAAAAAAAGGGGAACTAAATAATTTTCTGTTAAATTCCAGTTCAGCTGCTAATAGCATTTAAACAGCAGTGCTACTCAGTGCTACGAAGAACTGCACTACTTGCATTTCCGAAGAAAAAACAAATCGAAACTATGAAATTATCAGGGAAGCTCAAACAATTGTGCCAAGAGAGCACAAGACTATCTTTGCTATGGCCTAAGCTTTACAAAAAGTGCTTCTCTGCAGGACACAGTCACAGCAATAAACTTCTGAGCTGGTCCCAGGGCATGAGTTATCCTTGACACCCGCACACACACTAGTACTTATTACACTGTGCTTTCTGTGAAGAGACTATGCCTCAGTACTTTACATTCTCTGTTCTCTCTCCTCCAGAAGAAAAAAACCTTTTATGCAAGATAAAAATAATTTTGAGTAATTAGTCATGTATTAAAGACCTAGTTTGGAATTATTTATTCATTTTAACATCTAGTCATATAAAATAAACTGTAAAAGTATGAAGGTATCAGATCGTGGCTTTCAGCAATGCAGTTGGGAAATAGGAATTCAACATAAAACGGGATTTTCTTTTTTATTTCCCTCTGAAAAGGGTCACATCAGAACGAATGAAAAACACCAAAGAATTTCACTTCAAGCCTGCACTCCTGCCTTTTGTCCTTTCCCCAAGAGGGGAGACCACTGGAAGAATCCTCCAGGGTTCGAGTTATGTTGTTCTTTGTGCTCTTGTATCAGGGCTCTGGCTGGAACTATGTACTGCTCTCTTTGGGCGGCAGAGGTGGCTGAGGCTGCTGTGGTGGCTGTGTGCCTGTGGCGGTTTTGATAGAGTTCAGGGTTTTGCTAAACCAAGAGTTTTTGGCAGCTTGGATTTCATTCATAAGGGCTCCTCTCTGGTGCTCCAGCTCCTAAGAAAGCAGAATAATCAGAAATGATCAAAAATAACAGTTAACAAAAGAGCATCTTCAAACTCAATCCCTGCAATCAGGCACTTTCTTCAGACCTCCCAGGGCACTGGAGGAGGACAAATTGAAACCTAGCAAACGGCTGAAGATATTTAGGAATTTCTACAAATGAGAACTTTTTTGTTTTCCAAGACAGAAGAGAGTAAGATGCTGGAAGTTCACAGGCATACACTGGTAAAGGTATACGCTCCCTTCAGGAACAATTTTTTTGCGTGAGTCAGAATTATCATGTACAGAGTACAACGAGGTTGCACCCACCACACCGTAGTGGGATTCCATGTACCTGAATTTTGCACTTGGCTTCCACAAGCTGCAGTTTGGTCTGTGCAAGCTCCAGCTCCATCTCTCTCAGCTGCTTTGTGAGCGCATCCTTCTCATCATCTGCTTCTATTTCTTGATTCTCCCTGCTTACAGCAGGCACCTTCAGTGCCCCTTCCTTACTGAAAATCTCACTGCAGTGTTTGCAGGCCATCACTTTACCCTGAAAGAGCCAGAAAGCTTGTTTTTAATCCATGTTACAGGAGTTGCTGTTATCCGGAAAAAAAATATTTTTATGTTAGCCTGCCTTTCTGTTAATAATGTTTCGAACGGTCTAGTACTAGTTTTCATGCTTAAAGAATTTGAGAAGTTCATGAACTTCCTGGGTATACTGAACAGTATATAAGTCCCTAAAAACTACCTAGCACGTTCTGTCTACGCACAGAGATTTTGCTTCTAGCGTAGAATTACACAAACCTTCTTGCGATCAAGACATTGTAACATTTTGCAGTATTAAGGGCAGCACACTGCCGAAGAGCAAGTTGTACTCTAGTGACTTTTTGTCTTGCATAAAAGCACTTGACCAAGCGCTGAGGTTAGCATAGTTTTTGATGTTTTAAAGAAACCCAGGTAGTTTTTCCATATTTCCCAGAAGCAAGCACCCTCTTTTGGCTGCAATGGTCAGTACGGTCTTGTTGGCAGTGGTGTTTAAGCATCTTACAGAATAGCCTTTTTGGCCAACAGCACCCGATGCACAACAGTGCGGTTCCTAGGCTGCCTGAAGAGGTGAACCACTCATGGCTGAAGATGTAGCACAGCTGGCCTGGCCGGACCTCACCCAAACAAAAACAAACTACTGAACTATTTCAACAAATTATAGGAACATCAATCCTTGTGTTTATTTTTGTGATAAATATGAGATAAAATTTTGCTACCAGAAAGCAACAAAGAGGTTCAGCTTGAGCACTTAAGAAAAAACTGGGAAATTACAACAGAGGAAAACAATTCCCCCTACTCTTGTCGAGACAAAGCAGTGAGACAGAATTATTACCTGAATAGGAAACTTCACCGCTAATGCGGACGCTCCAGGTAAAGGGGTTTAGAGAAAGGAGAGGAATTGCTCAAGAGATTCTGGGGATGGGCCAAGACAGTGCCAACGAGTTAAAAAAAAAACCCTGCTTAAATTACACTGTAGACAAGTCCAGAATTCCCAACATAAATGGCATCCTAAAGCCAACTCCTAACTCTCTGCTGTGCAAAACAGAAGCAGTACACTGTCTTCTCGTGAGAGCCATCTTTTGTTTTCATTTAATTAACACATTTAAATAAATACTTCCTCTCTGTACATTTGTTTGCAAAAGTATTAATTTCTATAGGAAAAAAAAAAATCTAAGTATTATAGTCACTCCAGTTTGAGCAGTCCAGCCTTTCCGAGAATACAGAAATGAAGTAAAGCCTTTAATTGTTTACATCCCAAGAAAGATGAGTACAGAGCTATCAGTGCTGCTTGACAGATGCTACTGTTGTTACAGTTAAGTTAACTTCACATTTTGTTCTGTATTACTGGCATAATTTAGGAATACTTGAGCTCGAAACATCTCCTATGTAGTTTCTCACCTTCACAACTTCCAGCTCATCTTTACTGGCTGCCTGCTGTTTTTCCAGCCTGGTACTCAGCTGGGAACAAATCTGCAGGACAGAAAGCAATGCCTTAGATAAAGTTCACTTTACTAAAATATAATGAGTACTTTTCAACAGCAATGTTTGTTAGAGCTACGTCTTAAGTTCTACCTCACTCAGATATGCATATCCCCTTAACAAATGCACTGCTGGTGATAACAAGACTGGAAAAGGCAGCATTCAACATTGAACCTTAACACAGAGACTGTGATGTTTTATGGACGAATTGGTTTATACCAGTTACACTGCATTATGTCACGGAAGAAAGAAACATTTACCCTACAGTACTAAGAATATCTAACGGATAGGTTATTCTTGGCTCCCTAAATTAGCAGACTGCTGGGAAAACCACATAAAGGATTGTAACAGATCATAATGTTTCCTCTCCAAAAGCCTGAAACGTAATGCATCTTATTTAGAGGATGAGGTCTACAGCTCTGAAAAGGCAGCTCTGAGGTTGAAAAAGTTTACAAGTAAACACGAGAGAGTTTCTGTGGAACATTACCTGTTTATACTCTGCAATAATGGCTGTGGTTTTCTTAATCTCAGATTCTGCCTTCTCTAGCTGCTTCCTGAAGACCTCCTTCAACTAGGGATTCAAGGAGAGAAGTTAGTTACACAGTATGCCGAAAGAAGTTGTCAATATGGGTGATCAAATTGTTCTCAAAGCTTTGCTGTGTTTATAGCAATACTACAGCTTTTTCTTACCAATTCACAATTCTTCAGACAGAAATCTGGTCTACTTGGTAAACAAATTATATGCATTACATTTAGTTATAGCCAAAAAAATCTCTCCAAGATACTGTGTATCCCTGTTCAGAGCGTTCTCCTGTATAGTAACTTTCTCTCTGTCTGTTAAACGGGGTATCATAGTCCACAGAATACAAAACAAGGCCATTACAGACAGTCTCAAATTTTGTATTTTATTGGTTTCTTTCGTCTTCACACTACACAGCAGGTCTGGGGAGGCTTGGGAGGATGGGTTATCTGTTTGTTTGTTTGTTCTGAGGCTGAACAGGGAGAAAAATCACTCCAGCACAATCGCTTTCATCTCCCTACCCGGAGAAGTAATTCTAGTTTCATCTGCGGCACTGCACTAAAATACAGCTGACTCCTTTCCTGACCATTCAGAACCATTAACTGTGGGAGCCCTTTCAGTTGGCAAAAGGCCTCTACTGCCTTAGAGCGTATATAGCAAACACAGAATTTGGCAACCTCCGTTTTAGAGAGGGACAAAAAAAAAAAAAAAAAAAAAAAAAGAGAGTCTGGTTGTTGCAGTCACTGTTGTCAAATGGCAAAAAATAAGAATTGGAGTATCATTTCTGAAACATACTTAAACATACATCATTGTTCTGCCTATAGATACGTAGGCTTAAAAAATTAAAACTGAACATTTTGCAGATGAGGCAAAACAAGGCCAGGTCCAGTTAGCAAAAACGCCCCCAAACCGTCAACTCCATTCTGATGCTGGTGCTAGCTTAAGACAAGAACATTAATAGCTTTATTTCAATGGACCAGCAGCTGGATCCAGAATGACCTCTTACACATGGGACATTCAGAGCTTAAGTAAAGGAAGACGCTAGGAGATGTACCTTTCTTAAAAACATTTGCCCCGGTGATGTGAATTTTTTATTGCCACTGCAGTTTGGAGACAGAATCCTTTCCACAACTGCAATACATTCATGCTTTTCTACGTATCCTTTTGGTTGCGTTTAGCTAAAAGGAAGAAGTTGGACTGTGTCTCACCTGAGCAGTTTCTTCTTCCTGCTTCCGTTTCTCTTCCTCAGTCTCCACTAGTTTCTGTTTGGTCAGGAGAAGTTCCTTGTTCAGGACATCTGCTTTGTCTTCAGCCTACAATGAGAAAAGCCGGTGTAATCTAGGTGTTATCTGCTCCAACAGAAATATATATTCATGTATATATCTCTCATATATTACAGATTTAGGTTCTAGAGTTCCCTCTTCTTGCCCTCAAATGGCTCACCTGACCTAATTTGACAGGAAATACCCTTTTCAAGTAGCTATTTTCTAAGCTATTTCATTGTGGTTCAACAACCGAGCAAAAGGAGGACCCTAACATACACGCCCAGATTACAGGTAAGCAAGGATCCTAGATCATATGCCTTTATGTAAGCCTAATACAAACAAAGGTACATAGAGTATCTTTGTTGGGAACAATATTAATTCCAATGAGGGTAGCATGATTGAGCTCCTGTGTAACCTTAGTTAACTCATTCCACTTTTTACACCTGTAAGTGGAGAAAAAAAGGATACTGCAGAAGAGGTCAGGTGCTTACGCTGTACCGTACAAAGCGTCAGGAGTTAGACAAGTATAACAGAGACAAACAGGACTGTCAAGTTAGAAGGTTTGGTTAACAGTGCAAAATAAATACTTCTAGGAGGAACTAGATACTCTGTGCGTACTAGAGGATATGAACTTTCTCCTTTCTGTGAAGGGCCAAGGATACGGTGAAACGTACTGGGGAATACTTTGCTTTCATGATGACTATCCTCACTGATCACTGGGAAAGAAATACTCAGTCAACGTCTGATTACGTTCTGTTGACTACCTCCCCCCACAACTGGGGGATAAACACTGCGTCGTGTCACTCATGCTGTTCGATAACTGGGTGCTAGAACAGGCAACGGTTGCGGCCAAATAACACCTTAGTTGTTGAAAACGCAAGCGGGCAAACGGCACTGTAAAACAATGAATAACAGTACAGAACTTGTCTCTGAATTACACTTTGTTTTCCTACCGTTACTGGGGATATTGGCTTATTTCTCTGCCACAGTGTTAGTTATTAATGAGGGTGCTATTGGCGATGGCAGAAGCAGCTCCGCTAAGGCCACAACCAAAGAGATGGACTGAGGAGTCCTGCGTTGCTTAGTTTGCAAATAGCCTTATGGAAGAAAGGGGAAAAAGAGATCAATAAAAGAAAGGAAGAAGGATAAGGTTGACAGAGAGGACAAAAGTGGTACAGGATAGCAAGGATATTTATGGTAAAATACCTGTTTAAAACCTAACACTTCATAAGTATTGTAATACGCTTTAAAGTAACAACTAAAAATATTTATTCCTTGTATCTGGTCATTGCAGGTTCTCCTAGTGTCTGCAGTAGGACATGCTATCACCTGCTCTTGCCCATGAGGACTGGCACAAGGTACTTGCTTGACAGCTGTGTCCTGATACTTCAGAAAGCAACATGGGGAGGAGCAAACATTAAGCTTGTTCTATATATAACTATTCCTAGGGAAGACAGAGCACCTCAACACGTTATTGCTGGCCTTTACATGAGACAGCCCCACTCCACCACACATCTCCGTCTGCTCTTGCTCACTAAGATGACTCAGGTTTTTAGAATCACATGGATCCAACACAGCAGAGTCTAATTCTCAAGGATTTCACTACACAGAAATACAAATTGCAACTACTGTGGTCAGTGACATGTTAACAGTTTCCAACTTAGATAAAGAAAGCCTGAAACCCCCGAAAATCAAATTGAGTGGCCCATGCAGGAATAGATTTTATGTTACGTGAAATGCTATTGTCTTCCCATAGCAAGGTGCTAATCATGAAGGATGGTGGGATATGGCCCTCCCGTATTCAATACATTAATAACAGCCGTTAAGGAATTTATCAATATTACATAAAACACTAAAGCAAAGAGAGGGTGGAACGCGTAATTCTCTGAAAGCCAGCTCTAGGATAAATGGCTCTGAAAGCTGTTGTCCTCCACGCTCCTGGCTTCACAGGAAATGAAAAACAGTTACCAAAGGACGGACGCCCAAGAACCTTTTTAATTTTTGGTGCGTAGGCTACTGCATTATCTCTGAATTTTGTTAGCTGTAGTGGAAACTACTGTGGAAAACAGATCCAGATTTTGCAAAGCAACTTCCTTGAAAGTAGTCTTTCAAGGAGTATGTGATACCTTTTTCACGTTATAGTCATCCTTTAGTATCTGCCTTATATTTTCTAAAACCAACCTCAACAGAGGAGTCGGTGTCTGTGTCCTTAGCATACCACTGCGTGCACCTACACGCATTTGGAAATCTAACTTTCTGACTGAAGGAGAAACTAGGCTGTCAGGAAAATAAAAGCACAAATAGCGTGCTTTTACTTTTGTACTCATGCTTTCAGTTGAATGTAAAACAGGGCTCCTACAATTGGCGCTGCCCAGTCTAAACTTGGGCTCATCACTGCTGGTGATGGACTCACCTGGTCCAAGTCGTTTCGTAAGGCGATTTTGCTTGTTACAAGTTCATGTGCAAGGTCATCGTTCTCCTGTTCCAGCCTCATGCTAGCTTCTTGGAGCCTGCGGTTTTCCCTCTGCGGAAAGAGAGCAACAACCAGAAAAAGCTGTTAATTCTTATCCATATGAAAGAAAGGTGGGTGAGCGTATTGTGTACATAAAACACTGAGAAGGCAGGAGTGCGCATTAAGACAGGACTGCTGCTCTGGGATGCAGCAGTGAATTAAGCCAGCAGTGCAAATGCAGCATTTCCCATCCCAGTGGCTACGTTTGAGATGCGTAAGCGCCACACTGATCGTAGGGCTTCTCTGTCAAAAGTAAACGCAGTCCTCTCCTCAAAAGCACTTTGTTTCACGGTCACCATGGAAAGAAATTAGGCAGATAAAATCCCACCCAGTAGCAGTGATGAGGGACCTTTTAAAGAGGGACCTCTTTTAAAGAGAGAGTACTTCTGATCAAAAGCAGAACTTGTCCTGCTCCATTTTGCAAAATTTTGACTGCAGGTAATCATAAAAACAGTCCGTTTTGTAAAAGCTGTAGCATCAACCATCCATCCTCTGCTGGAACAGTAAAGAGCAGCACTTAGCTGAGAACTTCTCTGCAGCTCGTGTAACTCCATTTGTGCGTTTTCTCCATAACTTGCACCAGTGGCAACAGCGCTTATTTTAAGGGACACCTGCTGAGCAAAAGCGTCAGGTGGAGGGCGGCTCTCGCTTTCCGAGCGACGGGCAGCGTTCCAGCACCGTGCTCCGCAGCCAAAGCCCGGCACCGCAAAACGCAGAACGCCCAGGCCGTGAGCCCTGGCGCTCCCCTGCGCTGCCGCTTTGCGCTGGCAAAAGCGGCTACGGCAAGCACTGACTAGTGAAGGTAAGTATACTGGAGGAGACTGAGAAGTAGTAATCCATGTTTCTTACAAAAATCAATTGGAGTGACTGTTCTGCTGGGGCTGAGAAGCGGAATCATATTTAAAAGACGTCTCCGGGTCAGTGGACTTCCAAGAGCCCATATCAAATAGCTTCGGAAGAAAGCCGCCAAGTGAGCCAGATACAGGCACCCTCCTCGAAGGGAGCAAAGAATTTGCCGGCTGGCGCTCACGCCGTGAGCGCGCGCCTTTCGCACCACGGCGGACTGCGGAGGGAAGCGGCGTGCTACGGACCCTCCAGGAGAAACATCGAGTTCATATGGGAACTCCCAGATGGGGGGACAATAACCTACATGCTGAGACTTCAAAAAGACCCTGTGTTCACTTTAAAAAAGCAAGTTATGTTCTCCAAGGAAAAACAGTAAAAGGAAATATATGCATCAGCGTTTAGGACAGCAAAAAAAATTTCCAAAAGTCATGCAGCTCATACCATTCTACAAAATGTGATTTCATTATGTAAACACATTATTCATCCCCCTTAGCTTTTTCCTGTTCTCCAGCTGTTCAAAACTCAACACAGTGAAACAGCCCTGTTTTCATTTCTGTTGCCAGAAGATTTTGCACGCTTGTCTTGAACAAAAAAGGACAACTACCACTCCAAGAAAATGTTTAAGAAATCAAAAACAAAACAAAAAAAACAAACCACCACCCTTCTGGGTCCTTAGCTTCCTGCATGGCAGGAAGCAGAACCGCTTTGCAAATGCCTTTTCCTTAACACGACCTTATTGTGCAACTGAAGGTCTTAAATTATACACTGCTCTGCACGGGAAAGCAAGTTTTCTTTAGAGTATGATCTTTTGAAGAGGAAGCACTGTTTTGTTACAGAAACCATAAGTAAAATACTTGCCATATCGTTTAGCGTAGTTAAAATAACCATTGCTAAAAGATGCATAACTTTCGATTTTATTTTGACTGCACTGTACTCTGGGACAAGGAACTGCTAGAAGTAAAATTCTTCTGTAAGGATAATACATACCTTAAAGTGTAAAACTAAAATGCAATCTCTAATTAAAAAAAAAAAGGCTCTGTTGTATCTTTATTTCTGTATTTTTTTCAGATCATCTAAGAAAGAGTGATTTTATCGACACAGCTCTGCCAGCGAGCGGTTATCAGAAAGTGCCTTGAGTTCGTGAAGAAACTCTGACCAGATGGACACAGTAATAAGCTGCTGATACTGAAGGCTGCCGCAGCACCAGCACCTCTTTGTAGGAGCGCTGCTTAGAGGAGGAACTCAGCACGTTTCTAAACTTCCGCAAAACCACCCCGACAGACCTCGGCTGTAACATTTTTGGCTATGCTCTTGCCCAAAGCTTCAGTGTCTGCAAAGCGAGCTGCACAACGTGAAGTCCGAGGCTCCCGCTCTGCGTTCACAGACAAGTGGATAAGCAAGCTACGTGGTTGGAAAGGCACTATCCTCCTCTTAAACCCAAACTCACCCGGCACGTTTTTAGCAAGTTAAATATCTCTTACCTCGGGCATCCGGTCAGTAGCTATGAGCTATTTTAATCTCGTTCTCTCCGTTTTTAATTTCTAGCTGAAAATCTCTTACTGGGCCACCTTTACTCTTCCTCCGCACAAGGCGGCATGCGTGATCAGACATTGTTTGTGTTTTCCAGCTCCTCCCTGCAGATCTGGCAGTGAAAACCTGCCTCCTTCCTTGGGAGGAGATTCTCAATCTGCTTAAATCCAAATAAAAACTAGCCTTACACAAGACAAAAACACCAAGCAATGCTACTTCTTCGTAGCAAACTATTTCTGAGGGCTCCAAAATTTTTGCAGGGCTTTAAAAAAAAAAAAAATAAAAAATATATCGGAGCTTGCAAGCTACAGGAGGGCTCACATCAGAGCCAGCGTTTTGTAACCTGGCAGGAGCCAACTAGTCAGACCTGCTGGATGCCCTTGGTGCACACCAACAGCTTCCTGCCTCCTCTCTGTCTAACGCTCACGATTTACCGGCTCCTCCGTTTCCTTCTCTTTGGTATCGGCTTCTGCACTCAGTAAAAACATTCCTCTTTCCCAAAGGGTCTCCTCCTCCCCGCTGTCTCAGAGGGCGGCTGGTGAATTCTGGCTAGCTTTTAAAAGGAGGATACTGCATTTCCGAAAGGGACAAACACCGCTGTCGCATACAAACACAAATCAACTTACCTCCTGCACAGTCACAGGACAAATACTGCTTTCAACCATTGGTGTAAAGACAGTGAAAACAGGATACAAAATAAGTTGTTGTTTTTTTTTAATGCCAATAAAAACAGCCAAAAAAACCCACTAAGAAAGCGTCGCTGCTTCTGCGGTGGGGTTTTGGTTCTGATTTTTAGAGAGGATGCGCTCCAGCTTCCATCGCACACTGACCGAGGGAAGGCAAACTTGAAACCAGCAGGCAAGGCTCGACTCAGGAAGACCGAGCAGGCTAAAACTCCACCCTCCGCCACGGCCCCGCGAGCGGCGGGAGGAACGCGCCGAGGGATTAGCGGCGCCGAGGCATCCTCCGGCTGCGGCGCTAGCGCCGGGCGACCCAGCGTCGCAAACCCCGCCCAGCGATCCCGCGGTCGCG